CACACGTACAAACTTGGGCACCTCCGTTGCGGAGATATTTTATAGTGAAATATCCAAATGTACATAGCTTTTTCAGTTTAAGTCCGATTGGGCTAGAATTTGGTGGGTGGATGAATTGTTAAGCGACATGAACGAATGCGCCATGTTTGTTGCAGTGCGCCACGTTTGTCTCAAAGCGCCATTTTTGCCGCAAAGCGCAGAATGTGCGTAACTTTGTCGAACATTGGACGATTAGGATGCGCTGTAATTAAGGGATGGCTGCTTAAACGGCAGATATGAATGCAACACATTTGCCGCAGGGCACCATATTTGTCTTAATGCGTCAGTGTTTGCGTTTTGCCTACGGCGGGCGTTTTTTGCGGCGGTGTTTGCGTTTTTTTCGGTGTTTGCGTTTGACGGCGGGGGCCGTTTTTGCGTTTTTGGCGGTGTTTGCGTTTGGCGGCGGGCGGCCGTTTTTTTTGCGGCGTTTTGCGGTTGGCGGCGGGCGTGCGGGCGTTGCGGGCGTTTTTTTTGCGGCGATGTTTGCGTTTTTTGCGTTTTTTGTGCTTGGCGGCGGGCGGGCGGGCGATGCGGGTGTTTTTGCTGTTTGCGTTTGGCGGCGGGCGGCCGTTTTAGCGGCGGTTTGCGGCGGGCGGCCGTTTTTTTGCGGCGTTTTGCGGTTTGCGGCGGGCGGCCGTTTTTTGCTGCGTTTCTGGTTTGCGGCGGGCGGCCGTTTTTTACGGCGTTTTGCGGTTGCCGGCGGCCGGCCGTTATTTGCGGTTAGCGGCGGGCGGCGGACGGTCGCTTTTTGCGGCGTTTAGCGGTTTGCGGCGGGCGGCCGTTTTTGCGGCGTTTTGCGGTTCGCAGCGTGCGGCCGTTTTTTGCGGCGTTTCGCGGTTGGCAGCGGGCGATGCGGGCGTTTTTTTGCGGCAGCGGTGTTTGCGTTTTTTGCGGTGTTTGCGTTTTGCGGACGCGCGTTTTTTGCGGCATTTTGTGCGTTTTTTTTCTGCGGTTTTCGGCGGGCGGGCGATTGTTTTTTTTTGCCAAGTTTGCGTTGGCGTTTTAGGCGTGCGTTTTGCGCGTTTTGCGGTGTTTACGTTTGGCGGCGGGCGGGCGGTTTTTCACAATTAAAGTCCCAACCTTCGGATCCGCAGTGCTGTTCGACAAGCGCTGCCCGGGTATCCGAAGGTTGGGACTTTTCAATAAAGACAAATCACTATTCTTTAGAATTGTGATTTTCTATTGAAAATCCCAACCTGAGCTACCTCTCTAGGGGGGTGTTTAGCGTTTCTGCCGCGATTTGGGTCATTTTGATTGGGGCCAAAACGGCACGGTAGAATTTTTTGCCATTTTCAGCGTTTGGTCCCGTGTGGGGGAGCTACCGGCTGGCATCGGTCGCTTGAAATATAATTAACCCGTTTTGGGGTAATCGGCACGTGCATTTTCCCATAGGGTTAACATGGGGGAAAGTTGGAAATTCGATTTGCGAAAAATTTCGTCAATTATATTTGCTGATATTTTTAGGGTCGGATCTCGGGCTGGCACCCCAACTGACGGTGGTAATTATTTAAAATATAATTGACAAAATTTCGGGTAATCGTCACAAACAGTTACCCCATGTTGAGCCTATGGCGAATTCGAAAAATTATTTTCAAATCGATTTTGCAAAAAATTTCCACGTTAGATTTTGAAAATGTTCCAATATGTTGTGCCCCGGGGTGTCGGCTACCACATGGTATGGGTCAGATGTGGGGCGATTGAAAAGCACGTGCCACGTGCAAACGTGTTTGATGGGGTAACCTCCGGGAAAATCCGACATTGGCCAACTGGGGGTCCTATGGCGTGGAAACCACTCCACCTAGCGACACCAAATCAACGCAGCCGGTGAGCAGATGAGTCCAGCTTGTCGCACTAGTGGTCACGTGGCGCACGTGCTATTGCACGTGCCGTGGTACGAGGTCAATTTTGGTGCTTAAATATACTAGCATTGTGAAATGCAAGGAATGGGGGAAATAGTCGTCAGGCCGTCAGTTTTTATGATAGGGTCGATCTGAAAACGGGTATAGGCACAGAATGAAGGGGGCTAAAAAACTGCTATCTCGGATTTTTTTGTAAAATGAAAAATTAAAAATTCTGGGGGAATTATATGTTCGAAAGGTGAAATTTCCCTAAATTTTCCCGTTTTTCGAGTTTAGCCGTCCACTGTTCAGAGACGGTGACACCGGCCGGGGTCATCTTTTACATGCTGATGGCCACGTCGATGGGGCATCACGTGGCGTAAACGGTGAAGCTATCAGAGGTCCGGCACGTGCCACGTGGCCACGTGTTTGAGTCACGTACCTCCCAGATTATCGTGTAGTTGCCGATTTGTGGCCTTATAGCACGTAAACTGCACCAGTCAAGAAGCCTGAAATGGTGCATTCAGTGAGGGGACAAGTCCTGCTTACACCACCGGTGGTCACGTGGCACACGTGCAAATCCGGGCACCTCCGTTGCGGAGATATTTTATAGTGAAATATTCAAATGAACATAACTTTGTCAGTTTATGTCCGATTGGACTAGAATTTCGTGGGTGGATGAATTGTTAAGCGACATAAACGAATGCGCCATGTTTGTTGCAGTGCGCCACGTTTGTCTCAAAGCGCCATTTTTGCCGCAAAGCGCAGAATGTGCGTAACTTTGTCGAACATTGGACGATTAGGATTCGCTGTAATTAAGGGATGGCTGCGGCAGATATGAATGCACCACATTTGCCGCAGGGCGCCATATTTGTCTTAATGCGTCAGTGTTTGCGTTTTGCCTACGGCGGGCGTTTTTTGCGGCGGCGTTTGCGTTTTTTCGGGGTTTGCGTTTGACGGCGGGCGGCCGTTTTTTGCGGCGTTTTGCGGTTGGCGGCGGGCGTGCGTGCGTTGCGGGCGTTTTTTGCGGTGGTGTTTGCGTTTTTTGCGGTTTTTGTGTTTGGCGGCGGGCGGGCGGGCGATGCGGGTGTTTTTGCGGTGTTTGCGTTTGGCGGCGGGCGGCCGTTTTAGCGGCGGTTTGCGGTGGGCGGCCGTTTTTTTTTGCGGCGTTTTGCGGTTTGCGGCGGGCGGCCGTTTTTTTGCGGCGGTTTGCGGCGGGCGGCCGTTTTTTGCGGCGTTTTGCGGTTTGCGGCGGGCGGCCGTTTTTTTTGCGGCGGTTTGCGGCGGGCGGCCGTTTTTTGCGGTGTTTTGCGGTTTGCGGTGGGCGGCCGTTTTTTGCGGCGTTTTGCGGTTGCCGGCGGCCGGCCTTTATTTGCGGATTTGCGGTTTGCGGCGGGCGTCCGTTTTTTGCGGCGTTGCGCGGTTGGCGGCGGGCGATGCGTTTTTTGCGGAGGCGGTGTTTGCGTTTTGCGGCGGACGGGCGTTTTTTGCGGCGTTTTTTTTGCGTTTTTTCTGCGGTTTTTGGCGGGCGGGCCATTGTTTTTTTGCGAAGTTTGCGTTTGCGTTTTGGGCGTGCGTTTTGCGGTTTTGCGTTTGGCGGCGGGCGGGCGGTTTTTCACAATTAAAGTCCCAACCTTCGGATCCGCAGTGCTGTTCGACAAGCGCTGCCCGGGCCTATACGGTGGTGAACCGGCAGTGTCGAGCGGCCATCAGACGTGACCACGCGGCATACTATGCTGACCAGCTGCGTGAGGCAGGACCGGCGAGGATGTGGACAGTGCCAAGGCCGTATAAGAGGACAGTGCTGCGGCCGGTGATCGGGGCGGGGAAGAGTGCCACTGGTGCTGCGCCAGCGTGCACGCCGGAAGCGCTCAACGCGTATTATGTGAGCGTGGGCCCCACCACCGCAGCCAGCGTCCCTGCCCCGCTGCTGCGGACCCCGGTACCTGTCAGAATCCCTCGCGTACTCACATGTTCCTTACAACTTCAGTGGGTAGGGTACGTTGCGCTGTATAATATTTTTCAAAAGATGAAAAGATCGATGCTTCGACTTTTATCCTTTTGACTTTTTATTTCAGACTTTGACTTCGAAATTCGATTTTATACTTTTTCAGTTTTTGACTTTTTGTCTTTTGATTTTTACCCGTTTTGACTTTTTGCTTTTGACTTTTTGTCTTTTGACTTTATTCCGTTTTGACTTTTTTGTCTTTTGACTTTTACTCGTTTTGACTTTTTGTCTTTTGACTTTTTTCCGTTTTGACTTTTATCCTTTTGACTTTTTGCATTTTTGACTTTTTGCCTTTTGACTTTTACCCGTTTTGACTTTTTGCTTTTGACTTTTTGTCTTTTGACTTTCTCCGTTTTGACTTTTATCCTTTTGACTTTTTCATTTTTGACTTTTTGCATTTTTGACTTTTTGTCATTTGACTTTTTGTGTTTTTGACTTTTGCACATTTTGAATTTTTGCTTTTGACTTTTTGTCTTTTGACTTTTATCCGTTTTTACTTTTATCTTTTTGACTTTTATCCCGTTTGACTTTTTGCATTTGACTTTTTGTCTTTTGACTATTTGTCTTTTGACTTTATTCCTTTTGACTTTTTGTCCGGTTACCCGTGACGAGACCCTCCCAGCTTTCTATCTCTGGTGAACTAGGATCAAAAACAGGAGCAGTACCTATAGGCCATCTAAGACTCAAGTGACTACCATTCACGGACTTCAGACAGCAGATAGTCTCATAGAGGCCGTTGTAGATTCTGAAGATAGTCCGTCCCGAGTGCGACCTTCATCATTTTCATAAGTGCCCATGAAGAACGGTGCTCATTCGTCTCAGAATGTAGACGGCTTTTTATATGCAAGTACGATTGGCGTGCACTTGCGAAATGCGCTCACAAATCAACGTAGGTCCAACATTTATCAACATATCGCATCACCAATGTCATCCTTACCAATGCCGGTCGTCAATACCACTAGCTCTTGCAACATATACCAAGACGATCCCAATGGATTTTGACGTTATCAAGTTTTCAATGGATTCATTGAATCAACCTTTGAAGAGGGTTCAAGATCGAGGTAGAATACATAGTTTCGGTCGGGATATTTGAAGGAAGAGGATAGAATGCTCACCTGAAGCCCAACGATTTACAAACGACCAGAGCGTCGCTGCTTCCCCAGCCGTCGTCACATACGAGACCCCAGGAGCCACCAACTTGTCTCAGCTGGACGTTGCCTTCGGCACAGGAAGATCCTCCGTCTAGCCGGTATTCATCTGAAAATGGTGTTTTTTGTATATACTGGCTGATCTTCCAGCTGGTTGAATTGCACGCGTGCAATGTGCATCCAACCAATATTAACGGCCATATAATTATTTAAACTGTGAAAACTCACTGACAGTGCAAGAGTTTGTCGTTTGAAACACTTCACTTAACATAACGTGAGCTAAAAACAAGCACTTGCCACCTTTAAAGGAGCAATATGTAGAAGTTATGACAATACTTACAAGAATCTATTGTTCTGGTGATGCAAGAACAAGTCCCTGACGTGCACTCGAGATGTAAATTCGAGTCGCAATCCTGGTCACCCAGGCAGGAGCCATCCATGTTCACTGCTGAAACTGAAGAAGCAGCGGCTTTTTTGCCATTACAAAAGTAGGTAAACATATTTTTGTATACACAAAAAGCAAGCGAATCAATTTATGGACGAATATGAAGTTACATGAGTACCTACAAATAGGATAATGAAGCTTAATCAGTGATGTTTTCAAACTGTTTTGCTTAAATATAGCCTTTCATGTTGTATTAGGCATATTTAAGCTGTATTAAAACTAAATGTATCTTTAACTGATCAAATGCTATGCCATCCTATGGGATGCTTTCAGACCCCCATTCGCTTAGTGGGGGCCCTGTCCTTGTGAATCCTTCCATTCAAAAGGCTCTGACTGAACTAGAAAATTAAAATGAAATAGAACAAAAAGCTAGCCATCCACCCGTTAATATTACTTAACTGACCTAGCCGGCACTCCGTGTTGTTGTGATTCCAGAAGCCGCTGTCACAGGCGCACCTGCCGCTTGTGCAAGAGGCGTTGGATGCCAAAGACTGTAGACAAAGACAAAATCATGCAGTTTAATCAAGAAAATTTGCATCGTTATTAGCTTGATTGAATATTATTTAGGCTAAGCCATCGTTGCATCACTGAAACCTCAGCACACGCCCTACATAGTAGGTCACTAATATAAATCATAACTCATACATACGCCAGTGGCTTCACTTAACATGAAATACGCAAATATGCAGTTGGTTAACCCGCGCCCCGCTGGGGGGGTAGAATCTGCCCCCCCCCCTTCTCCCGTTTTTCGCCAATAACTTCTAAATGCGTTACGCCAGCGACGTCAAACTTCCAGCACCTTATAATACATCAATTTGACACGTTCCCTGAAAATTTCAGCAAAATCCGTCGGATTTTTTTTTTTAGAAAAAGACGTTTTGGTGACATCATGTTCGCCATTTTCGCCTCAAAAATGGCAAAATTTCAAACGCCGCTAACATCTTCGTTTTTAAAGGAATCAAGACGCAACAAAAATATTATATGTGATTTCACTTTGTCTATCAAATGGCTATAGTATCTCGGTTTTTTGAAAATTTTGGATTTTAACCCAATTTTTGTTTTAAAAAAACTGATTTTTTTGGGAAAATAATTATAAAATCCAAATTTTGAGTGTATAAAAAAAACACGGAATATATGTCAGAGAAGTGGTCTATGTGCACCTACATACCAATTTTCAGAAGAATCGGTTCAAAAATGTGGGAGTTATTCAAAATTTTATGACGTAATGACACACAAAATTTTTGAAAAAAATGATTTTTTTGGAAGTTATAGACCTCGTACGGAAACAAAAATAGCACCATTCGATTCTCCGTGACAAACTGCATCAGATAGACACCTTTTTAGGCCTTACCAGCCAACTTCAAAATTTGACCTCACTTGACCTGACCTTGACCTGACCTCGACCTGAAGTTTATCCAGGTGTGGTACATATCACTTATTGAGTGTGCCTATTGAATTATATGATTAAAATGACCCATAAAACATGTGTCGTACATGCCCTTTTCTATAGGTATTTTGTTTTTGGTGACCTGACCTGACCTGACCTGACCTGACCTGACCTGACCTTGACCTTAACCTTCGAATGATTATGTATGCAACGAATATTGTCTTGGTAGCCTAAGAACACGTTTTGGGCAATCAGTCTCAGTCCATTCTTCGGCAACTACGGTGCAAGGCTGATAATGTAGAAACTTGCATTTTGTACCCTTGACCTGACCTTGACCTGACCTCTGAACTACTTTAGCAAAAAAAAATGGGCTCTTAAGATCCGCCTTGTTGAGAGCTTTCGATTGCCGTTTTTCCCGTCTTTCTATGACCATCGGTTCGGAAGTTAGACAGGGGGGACAGAATCTGCCCCCCCCCCCCCCCCCCCCCAGCAGGGCGCGTACGGCTGAATAGCCCAGCGGGGCAGGGTTAAAGATCAAGCGTTTCAAAGACCAGGTAAGCCAACTTTCAGTTCCATGTCCCTTACTTGTTCCGATAAAGAAACTGCGAAAAAAAAAATGGTGGCACCATTACCCGGACAGAGCGGAGGAGGCAAAAATTTAGAAAGGCGAGCATTGTTTAGCCCGCGCCCCATATAAACCTTCGCCTCGCTGGGGGATCCAATTTGGCCTCCATGTGGTTTTTCCTAAATAGCAAGAAAACGGCAGCGCGCAGCGCCACCAAATTTTCAGTACCTTCCCGGGCACCAATTTGACACCTTCACATAAAATTTCAAGTCTGAACTCACCTTAGGTCAGGAGTTATTGAGGTCCAACTGAGGTCATGTTCGAGCAAAAATGAGCAAAAAACATGAAATCTTGAAACGGTCACAAAATTTACAGTTACCAAGCAATTTCAAAATTTATATGGTCATGTAGACAGAAAAGTGGCACTACAAAACTGCTATCTCGGATTTTCAAATTTGGGGGTTTTGACCCACAAAAATTCATAAAATTGATTTTTTAACGCCAAAAAAATCCCAAAGTTTTCCGAATTTCAAAAAACCCGGAATATATGTGATAGTTCCTACGCTCTTCTATATATATACCAAATTTCAGATCGATACCTCCTTTTTCGCCAAGTTATGCCGAATAAACTGTTCAAAATTGATGACGTCAATTTTTCAAACTCAATTTTGGCAATTCTAGCCCACGTAGGGCAAAACAAAGACCACCATTAAACTCCCCGTGACGAGCTGCATCGAATCGATACCCCTTTTATGCAAAATATCAACTTTGAAATTTGACCTAACTTGACCTGACCTTGACCTGACCTTCACCAGAACATAATCTAAACTGACCCCAAAGGCTACCTGACCCACATAATCGTATTTAGCATCCTCGCAATTTTGCACGTGCGAGGCCCACCGCCCACCCTCTCGCTCGCCCCGTTGTTCGCCCCAAAAAGCGTTATATTGGTGTATATAACTATCACCATCGTGATTCTGAGCTTAAATACATCCGACAGACACCTTTTTTGAAAAAATTTCAATTTTAGAATTTGACCTTTTTTGACCTGAAAGTGACCTGACCTCAGCTATATTCAACTGAAAATGACCTCAAAGACACAGACGACGCTGATTTCGAAACATATGGCCTAAATGGATCATAAAACATGTGTCACGTGACCGATGCATGAAAAAATTATCCGTGACCTGGGATGACCTGACCTTGACCTGAAAATCAAAAAGCAGAATTTTTCTACCCTCAGGGTATCTAAAGCATCTATTCAAGAGTGTGCAAACCAAAAATGAGCCTAATCTGACTTCTAAGCCGGCGGCTAAAGCCCAAATAGTGCACGAGACAAAATACTTATAATTTTGACTGTACCTGACCTGTGACGTCATCGGTGACCTCAACGTCAATAAAATAAGGTTTCCCTCATTCGACAGCTTTTTCCGGGGCTATCAAACGCCGTTTGAGTTTTGACAATCGGCCCAGTAGTCTTGGAGTAAGGAGAGGGGGCTATGAACCCCCAATAGGGCTGAATGGGAGTTTTCTATCGGGACCCGCGTATTTTGGAACATGCTACCTAGCCCAGTCGCCCAACTTTGGCGGCCCAAAAGGACACATTCCGTTATAAGGTGGTGTGACAAGCCCGGCCCGGGACCGGGGACAGGGAAATAAAATTTGGGGTGTGAATGGACTGCTTTCGAGGATTGAAGGATTGGAAGTACGAATACCTTAGGTATGAAATTAACCCTCGCATGTGTAGGGGGGTCGCATGGACCCCCTCATAGTTTTTCGCGAATAACTCGCGTAAAAAGCGGCCGATCGCGACGAAACTTTCAGTACCCTCGCATTGATCAATTTTACACCTACCCTGAAAATGTCATGACCCTGACCCAAATGACCTTTGACCTGTGACCTCTTTTCCGAGATCATGTTTGGCCGGAATCGCGATACCGCGTATGTCGGCTAGCATTAGCCGCGCGTTTGCAAGCTTTTCGTGCTTTCAAACGTTCAAACATGTGATTTGATATTGCTCCCATGCATTAGGGTCGGTGTCAAGGTCACCTGAAGGTCAGGTCAGGTCATTGACCTTTGGTATGGTGACCTCGGTTCACTTTTTCGAGTTTTACATGTTTCTAGGCTAGTTTTTTTTTAGCTGAATTCGAATTTAGCAACCATTTGAACATTTACGAAGTAGTTTTGGTGACTTCGTAACATGTTACGAAGCTGTCAGAGGCGGTTGACACGAACTACGAATACCCGTCACGGTTGACCTGACCTGACCTGACCCGACCTGGTCTAAATGCTTAAAGACATCATCTGTGATCAAAACTAACACGATATTCGTGATCAACGTCCCGAAAAACCCCTAACAGTCACACTTTACGACTTTCGAACAGGTCCCGATTTTCCCGACTTTGGGTTGTTGACCTGACCTGGAAGGTCAACCAATGACCTAGGACCTTAAAATTGGGTATCATCGGCTTCCTCCCGTCACGGGCAGCACGCTCGTTTTTTCCGCGAAGCTCTAGCTCGATCAGGGGCCAAACGGCAAGGGGGGATCCAACCGACCCCCACCCCTTACACATTAGAAGCTGGCAAACGCCGCACACATGCGAGAGTTAAATATTATGCACATGGCGCCAAGGGCGCACACAAGGGGGGCACACGGGCCCGTGCCCTCCCCTCATTCGAGTTGGGGCCCCTTGTCCTTAGACCGCCGAAGACCGTGTAAAAATGAGCTGAAATAATGATTGAAAAGACGAGAAGGGCCCATCTCGTTCCCCAGCAGGCCTATATGAGTGTATAAAATGCCCAGTAGCGCAGCCAGAGTGATTGTGGTGAAATTTCAATGGCCCTCAAAAGGCCTCAAAGGGTCCTCGGATGGCGTCACAGGGTCCTCAGATGGTCTCCAAAGGCCCGCAGTTAGCGTCAAATGGTCTTCATCTGGAATCAAACGGCCCTCAGATGGCCTCAAAGGCCCCCAGATGGCCTTAAAGGGCCCTCAGATGGCCTTAGCCCTCAGATGGCCTTAGCCCTCAGATGACCTCAAAGGGCCCTCAGCTAACGTCAAACGAACCTCAGAAGGCCTTAAAGGGCGTCAAAGGGTACTGAGCTGGCGTCAGAGGTCCCTGGGCTCGTGTCAAACGGCCCTTCGAAGGCCTTCAAGGGTCCTTAGCTGGGGTCAGAGGGCCCCTAGCTGGTGTCAGAGGACCCTCAGCTGGCGCCAAATGGCCATAAGAATGCCTCAAACGGTCCTCAGCTGGGGTCAAGCGGCCCCAAAAAGCCGCAAGGGGCCCTTAGAAGGCCTGAAAGGGCCCTCAGCTGGCGTCAAATGGACCTCAGAAAGCCTAAAAGGGCGTCAAAGGGCCCTGAGCTAGCGTCAGGAGGGCCCCCAGCTGATGTCAAAGGGCCCTGAGCTGGCGTCAGACTTTAAGGGCCCTTAGCCGATGTCAGAGGCCCTCCCCAGTTGGTGTAAGAGGACCCTCAATTGGCGTCTAATGGCCATTAGAAGGCCCCAAACGGTCCTCAGCTGGCGTCCATGGCTCTCTTAGTGAATGGCGAAAAATCACATGCGGCACTCCTCAAGGTACGTTGCTCGGGCCCATTGCGTTCTTAGCAATGATCAATGATGCAGCTAGAAGCACAGAAAACAGGCTGAAATATGTCGATGACCTGACAGTGTATCAGTCATGCCCAGTTGACAGTGTAAATGACACAAGCACACTTGCTGACTTGGCAAATGATATACATGAATGGGCGAACAGAAACAAGATGGTAATTAACGCCAGCAAAAGTCAAGTGATGCATTTTCAGACAGCGAAAAAGCCTTTAGTGTTGCCGGATATCACTATCGACGGTAAAAGTATCCCAGTGGTTACCTCAAGTAAGCTTCTGGGCGTAAAAATATCAAACAACTTCACGTGGCAGGAACATGTCAACGACGTAGTAGCAAGAAGTTCTAGAGCTTTATACTTGCTTTATGTGCTGAGAAGATTCAACCCTCCCCAAGGACAGCTACTAAAAGTGTATGTTACTTACATTAGACCACTGCTGGAATACTGCGCGCCAGTCTTCCATGCTGGCCTCACCGCCAATCAGGCTCAGCAGATTGAGCGAGTGCAAAAGCGGGCGTTAAAAGTGATCGCTGGGTATGATAACACCTATCAAGATTTGTTACATAAATTTGAACTTGAAAGCCTCGTTGATAGACGGGAGAAGATGTGTCTTAATCTTGGAAAGCAAATGTTAAAAAATGCGACACACAGGAAAATATTACCGCCAACAAGAGAATCAATCAGCGGAAGAAACACCCGCAACATGAAGACGCTGCAACCTTTCTGCTGCAGTGTGCGACTGCGGAAATCTGCAGTTCCGCATATGACGTCGTTGCTCAACGCGGATAAACGCCTGCAGTGGTGATTTCGCTGCTTACTTTCAAAGTGCTACTGGTGTCTGAGCACTGCATTGCATATCCCATGTGCTGTGTGAGTTAACACTCAAAGCCATGTCTATGAAATATACCGCATCTCTCTCTCTCTCTCTCTCCAACGGTCCTCAGCTGACGTCAGGATGCCCTAACAAGGTCTCAAATGCCCCTCGGCTGCTCAAAGGGCCCTTAGAAGGCCTCAAAGGGAACTCAAGAGACGTTAAACGACCCTCAAGAGGCTTGAAATTGAAAGGCCCCTATGCTGGTGACAAAGGGCTCGCACATGACGTCAATAACAGCGTGGTCAAAAACGGGCCTGAGAGATCTTGCCGGCCCCTGGTTATCTGAGGGACTCCAACAGTTACCTCAGTGGCCCCCGTTTAAGGGCGCACACAAGGGGGGGGGGCACACGGGCCCATGCCCTCCCCCATTCCAGTTGGGGATCTCTGGTCTGTGATCTCGCATCGTATCAGATATGACATGTCATGTTGATGTGCCTAAATAAATATGCGACTATACGTGAAAAAGGAGTGCTGCCCCCGTTCCTACACACCCGGGCCAAACAGTGACCGGCCCCTGCTTCTAGTGCACCCTGGGCCGGTCGGCCGCCAGGTAGTCAGTCGCTGCTCAGGGCTGATTTCTGAGGGACTTTCAAAAATGCTTATTGATTGAATGTTTTAGGTAATAACTAAGATGATTAGGTATATAATATGTACCGACTCTGAGTTGCATTTGAATAAAAAAAGCCAGCGTAAAAAAATATTGTACATGTTTTGAAAATTAAGCTGGTACCGAAATAATTGTTTTGCCATGCATTGACAAAAGCTCAAGCTTTAAGCAAACCGAAATATAACCCCATTGGCCGTTTTTTTTGGGGGGGCCTTCGGCATGGGAGGGGGGCCCAGTTCGCAGGTCGTGCCCCTCCCATTCAAAAATCCTATGTGCGCGCCATGATGGCGCATTGCGCAAGCAATAGAAAGATGGCAAAAAGTTAAACACAATCAGTTCGAAGTGTTTCTATGACACTGTTCCTTCAATCAGTCACCTACCTGGCAGTCGGCGTGCTCCAGACAAGGTTCCGTTAGGCGGGAGTGCTGACGACAGCGGAAATCGGACACCCGCCGGTAGCCGTCCCTGCACACACACACGCCTCCGGCGCACGTCGCTTCGGGCATCTGCCTGGAGCAGTCCGTCCTCTGGGTACACTGCTGGCCCAGCACTCTCCCTGAGGGAATAGCATAACGGCAGTCAGCGAGCAGTCCTGGCTACACAGCTGGCTCAGCACTGCTACTGCTGGCCCAGCACTCTCCCTGAGGGAGTAGCATAACGGCAGTCAGCGAGCAGTCCTGGCCACACAGCTGGCTCAGCAGTGTAGCCAGGCTCCCACTCTCTCTGTGAGAACAGGAGCACGGCAGTCGGCGAGCGAGCAGTCCTTGGAGTTGGACCAGCTTACTTCAGAAGCTGCATTTTTTGTTCATAACAAGATGTTCATAAGATAAACAAAAGTTTTTGTTAAGGCCTGGCTACACTATGTGTTTTCTGCATGCGTTCTTTGCGGGTTTGCGTTTTTTTTTTTGCGAATTGTCGTTCTAGAAAAGTTATAAGTAATATATCTTTTACACATGTAAATATATATATATCTTTTTACACATGTATTAGTTATATATGTTATACAAATATAGTTACAAATATAGTTATATAGTTATACAAAACTTTATATAACTTAATTAACCCCCGCCCTGGTGGGGTCTGTTTATAAAGCGACGGGAGGCTATTTTTTGCCCCCCCCCCCCTCTTATCTCCGAAACTACTGGACGGATCCACAAAATTCAAGCGGCGTTCGAAAGCCCTGTCAAATTTGTCAAGGAACCTCGAATTTTTTAAACCTCAAGGTCACCGATGACGTCACAGGTCAGGTCAAAGATAAAATGTTTTGCCGGTCACGGGTCTTCTAGGGAATGCGCTATAACATCGAGTAAAACGCATTTTATCGAAAGTCAGCGATAGGGCGTCAGTTGCTTAGTATCTATGTATGTTGCTATTAGAGGTCACTGATAACACCAGGTCAGGTCACAGTTCAGGTCACCAAAGGGTCAGCACTCAGCACATTAACCCAATTTCACTAAGGCTAGGTGATGCATGTTTTATGGCCAATTTTTCATTTCAAACTCAATGGTGTTGGTTATAAGAACATCAGGAACGGTTAAGGTCACTTTCTGGTGGAGGTCAGGTCAATGTCAGGTCAAAAAAGGTCAAATTTTAAAATGGATATTTTTGCATAAATGGGTATCGATTCGATGCAGCTCGTCACGGCAAGTCTAATGCTGGTCTTTGTTTTGCGCTACGTTGTCTAGAATTGCTAAAAAAATGAGTTTGGAGATTCGACGTCATCAATTTTGAACATTTTTCTCGCCATGATTTGTCCAAAAAAGAGTTATCGATCTAAAATTTAGTATGTGAATAGGAGTCAGTAGGGGCTGTCACATATATTCCTTTTTTCGAAAATCGAAAAATACTTTGGGATTTGTCGGCAATTATATTCAAAAACATTTTTTTGGGGGTCCAAATTCGAAAAATTCAAAATTTCGAGATAGCAGTTTTGCTTGAATGTTTTTCTGTAGCTTCAAAGCTATAGACCTGACAGCTCTTCCCGCGAAATCTTTTTTTGGGCCGAAAACGGCAGAACATGACGTCACTCTGACGTCATTTGCGGACAACCTATCATAGCCTTTGGAAAAAAAAAATTGGTCACAATGTGTAAAATTGATGCCCGAGAGGGTACTGAAAGATTGGTGACGATCGGAGCAGTTGTTTTGGAGATATATCGAAAAGCCTGGAGGGGGAAAAATAGCCCCCCCCTCCCACCAGGGCGCGGGCAGGGCACTAAAGAGTCAGGGAGCGGGTTAACTAAAATTGAATATAAAAAACATCACAAAAACGTAATATCGTCCTTTTTCTAGAACAATAATGCGCAATTAACACGTAAACCGCAAAAAACGCACGAAGAAAACGGATATTGTAGCCAGACCTTTACATGAACAGTTATAGAAATAAGTGACAATGTCATTTACGCTTTTTATGCATCGGTGTCTTGATAGAAACTGACGTGTACATATGCATGAATACGCAAGTTCTCCCTTACTAGGTATGTGGTCGACGGCAGCCAGAATGGCTGCCAGCTGGTCGTGGACAGCTGCTGAGCTGTTGTTAGCAGCTGCTGACCGGAGCAGCGCTGCCTCCATCCGGTCGGAGAGAGCTGTGCGGGACACCTCAGCAGCATCGAACTGGGCATCGAGGGCGGACGACAGGCCGCTCTGTGACTCGCTCAGGCTGGCGAGCCTGCTGCTCGTCGCGTTCCGCCAGTGCTGCAGGCCGTGGATTTGACCTAGTGTGTCCTGAACTGCGTCGAACTGATTAGAGACCTCGGAGTGAAGCTGCGTCAGGCCCTCAGCGCTGGCTGGAGGGTCGTGTTGTGACTGAACTAAGCGGTCAAGCCGTCTGGCAGTTTCAGCTTGTCCTTGAGCTATGCTGTCCAAGAGGCTGACAGTTTCAGCTTGTGACTGCTCCAACCTTTTGACAGTCTCAGCTTGTGACTGTTCCAGCCTTTTGACTGTTTCAGCTTGTGACTGCTCCAGCCTTTCGGCAGTTTCAGCTTGAGACTGTTCAATGGCACCCAGCCTCGTCTCCAGGTCGGTGTGTTGTCTCCGCTGCTCGAGCTGCGAGTCGTGAATGAGCTCCAGACGGCTAGAGACGGCCGATAACCCTGTCTGGAGTTCCGCCAGCGATTTGGCCAGCTCGGCCAGCGGCCCGGCCGTGGCGGCGCGGCCTGCTGATCGGTAAAACCCATCTAATGCGGATATCACCTGATCCAGCGACACATCCTGCTCCTCAGGCGGGTCCGGCTCTTCGGAGGGTCCCTCGGAGGTAGCCAGTTCTTCGGAGGGTCCTTCGGAGGTAACCGGCTCTTCAGAAGGTACCTCGGCGGTAACCGGCTCTTCAGAAGGGCCCTGAGTGGTAACCGCTTCTTTTGAGGGTGCCTCGGTGGTAACAGCTTCTTTGGAGGATCTCTCGGTAGAAGTCGGCTCTTCAGAACGTCCATCGGCGGTAGCCGGGTCTTCGGCGGGTCCCCCGGTGCCGGACACCTCCGGCTGAAGCACTCGCGACTCCGACCCCGACTCGAGCACTGCAGTGACGGCGGCCGGGGGTGCCGTGGTGGGAGGCTCCGAGCTGACCTGGCTCAGCGCACACGCCAACAGGAGCACCAGCGCCAGCATGGTGGTCTACGGAGGAGCTCGGGTCGACTGGCGATCAGCGCGGTAAGCTGGAGCGCTGGTCACATCGGCAGGCCGACAGTGTTTATACACGTCTGGACGGTGGCGCCGACATTCCGACCTGATGATAGCATGCTTTGGCTCCAGTGTTTATTGGAAATTCAGGATTGAGGTTGTGGAACGCTGTCGGGACTTACCCAACGATATACACTCTCTAACACGATTTGAATAGACATGACTTAAACCGCGCCCCGTAGTGTGGGGCCGAAACGCCCCCTCCCCCCGTTCTTTTCCGTTGATATCTAATAAGCGACTGCCGATATCGTCATCAAACTTTCAGGATACCTCCAGGCATCCATTTTACACATACATGTGACCAAAAATTTACAGAGGCTATGGTAGGTTGGCCGCAAATGACGTCAGAATGACGCCATGTTCTACCATTTTCAACCCAAAAAATGTTTCGCGGGAAGAGCTGTGAGGACTACAGATGTGATTGTGAAGGGAAAAATGAGAAAGACATAAAAGGTGTAGAATCAATAGGGCTATAAAACTGCTGTCTCGGATTTGTTTAACCCTCGCCCTGGCAGGGGGGGTCGATGCGACCCCCCCCCCTAAGGTTTTTCGAAGATAGCGTAAAAACGGCGGCGCGCAGCGCCGCCAAATTTGGCACAGCCTATGGGGCAACCTTTTTACATATGACCTGAAAATTTCAGGTCCAGGTGACCTTGGGTCAGGTCACAAGGTCAGAAAAACCGGTACAAGGTCATGGTCAAATTTCAATTTTCTCTTTGCACCTGTCCAACTCGTTTTTCAGAATGTGCTAAGTTCACCGAGTTGTATAACATATAGTTCGGGTTTTTTGAGGTCACTGACCTGAGGTCAGTTAGAGGTCATTACGTCGTAATGTTAAGCCTATGGGAAAATACTAAATTCGGAAAATACTGGAGATATCCGCTTCATTCTATCACTTTTGTGCTTTGAAACCACAGTACTTAACAGCAGGTCACTTGGTGCTTCTTTGATTGGTGTGCTTATCCATGGGTCAGGTCAAATGAGGTCAACTGAGGTCAAATGACGTTTTTGCCAATAACTTGGCACATAATGACGCTACAGCTTCAAAAATGGTATCATTGTGTTCCTGGTGATCAGCCGAATCGAATGATATGCGATATGATGCAATTTGGTTAACTTGAACTTAATTTATTAAGTTAAGTTTACTTAAAATTTAAGAAAAATTTTAAGTACACTTAAGCAAGCTAAAAATTATATCATTCGACGCGCCTTGACGTGCTGAGTTCACTGGTGCCTTTCGTTTTGCTCTATCTTAATTAGATCAAAAGTTATAAGCGAAAAACTTTTGACCTGTTTTTAGCGAAATTTTTACATTTATACCCCCCAAAACCCCCCTAAATATTGACCTAGAGCAACCAAATTTGCACAGGGGCGAGAACTCCAGGGGGCCCACCTACCTACCAAATTTGGTGTTTCTAGGTGCCATAGGAGCCAATCGCGAGGGGGGGTCGCATCGACCCCCCCTGCCAGGCCGTGTTATGGAAAATGCCCTGCCAGGGCGAGGGTTAATGTTTGGATTTTGACCCCCAGAAATTAAAAAGTAATTTTTGGGATATATTTGCCCAAAAAATCCCAAAAGCTTTTGGAACTAAAAAAAAACGGAATATATATGATAGTCCCCTGCCTTCTATCCACATACCAAATTTCAGATTGATACCTCTTTTTTGGCCAAGTTATAGCGAAAACACTGCTCAAAATTACAGGGTGTCCCAAAATTAATGTCACACCCTCCCGCAACCTTTATTTTGCCTTCTACGGCGCAATATCAACATACTTCGCCGGTACTGGCTCCCAGACCATCTTGGCTACATTCTAGTCACGTGACCTTCGAATTTTTGTGACCCTGACCGATCAAGGGGTGTATGGAGGTCATTTCCGGGGCAGTACCCAGCGCGCGCGAACCAGGTGTCCAGGATGGCAAAACTGCAAAACAAATCGTTCCACAGTGGGCCGGGGCAGTCGGCATTGTTGCCGCCTGCCGGCGGATGACTCACGGCCAGGTCGCCGAGGCACTGGGCATGAGTTGCCGCACGATTTGGCGCTGATTGTCACACGACAGAAGCGGATAGACGCTTGAGAACAAGCTAGGTCGCGGCAGGAAGACTACCGCCAGGCGCCAGGCGGGTATAGCGCAGATCGTCATCGCGAAGTGCGGAGCTAAGGACAGGCTTATCCACAAGGAAACTGGCAAGGAGGCTGATTGCCAACAGTCATCCTGCAGTCTCCAGGTCGACAATCCATCGGTACCGGATGTTGTCTCTAAAGCTGAAGCCCTAACAAGCCCTAACGGGTCGGCACTAGAGTTGCAAAATTTCCCTACCGCACTACCGGCATGCCGGTAATTTTTCACTACCGCAGGTTTTTTCGTGGTATCTGGCATGTCTTGCCGGTAGCATGCCGGTATTTTTTATTTTGCACACAAAAAAATTATCAGCATATGATTCAAACTTTGGACACTAAGAGGCTATTTAATTGTAATAACAGCAATCTTAGCCACTGCAAAATACATTTTGTGGTAAAAGTTCCATATGCCGTATTAAAATTACCGCCAAATTACCGGTATGCCGGTAATTTGGCGGTTTTTTTTGCTTGGGGCGTGGTAGCATGCCGGTATCCCAGAAAATTTTTGTGGGGCGGGGCGGTGCCGGTAGCAGCCCATTGGGAAAACTTTGCAACTCTAGTCGGCACCCCTGCTCATCGAGCTAGAGTGACGCCAGACTGGTGCAGACAGAACTTCCCAGCATTCTGGAGAAAGGGCAAATGACCGGGAAATGGTCGCAACCTGTCGCCGAGAGAAAATCTTTGGTCGATCGTCCGGTAGAGGTGAACAAAATTGCACCAGGGTAGCCTGAAGGCTCGCTGACCAGGAACGTTTGATCTGTCTGGTCCAAGATCAGTCCACGGAAGCTGGACATGTTTATGTCTGATGTCCTGGGCCGTATGCTTGCCCGTATCAGGGAGAAGGTGCAGGATAGGGGAGACCCGGGAGGTATGGGCCCCCTGGAGGTAGGGGCCATCGCAGTTTTGAAGAAATGTTGCGTATTTTTACACATTTGGCCGCGTAAACTGCAGTAGCAGCCATTCCGTTACACAACCCACGTGATTTTCAAAATCTCCCTCAGTCTTCTTTGACAATGAGCGGTGATAAAGCTCTTTTGCCCTCTTCGAGTAAAATATGCTACATACAGAAAATTCGTGATAAATTTGAACCAGGCTCGTTTTATGATGTCAGACCAATGCTAACATAAAGTTTAAAGCATGCAAATTAACAGGCTGTGGAAAAAACGTATCAAGTAATGAGCCGCCGAGGCCTTTTTCACGTTTCCATATTGCCTTGCGTCAATTTGTGACTTAAAACCCTCGCCCCGTTGGTGGGGGGCCATTTTGGCCCCCCTGTGGTTTTTCCTGAATAGCAAGTAAACGGCGGCGCGCAGCGCCGCCAAATTTTCAGTACCTTCCCGGGCATTAATTTGACACCTTCACACCAAATTTCAAGTCTTAGGTCACCTTAGGTCAGGAGTTATTGAGGTCAAACTGAGGTCATGTTCGAGCAAAAATGAGCAAAAAACATGCAATCTTGAAACGCTCACCAAATCTACAGTTATCAAGCAATTTCAAAGTTCTTTATATGGTCTAGTAGACAAAAAGCAGCGCTACAAAACTGTTATCTCGGATTTTCAAAATTTTGAGTTTTTGACCCAAAAAATCAAAAAAATAAAATTTTTAGAAAAAGTAAAAAAACAAAATCCAAAATTTTCCAAATTTCGAAAAAAACGGAATATATGTGATAGTCCCTGCGCTCTTCTATATACATACCAAATTTCAGATCAATATCTCGTTTTTTGGCCAAGTTATAGCGAAAAAACTGTTCAAAAATGATGACGTCAAATTTTTGAACTCCGTTTTTAGCAATTCTTGACCTCGTAAGGCAAAACAAAGACCACCATTGAACTCCCCGTGACGAGCTGCATCGATTTGATATCCATTTTATGCAAAAATATCAACTTTGAAATTTGACCTAATTTCACCTGACCTTGACCTGACCTTGACCTGACCTTGGCCAAAACGTGACCTAAGCTGGCCCCAAAGGCTGCCTGACCCACATAATCGTATTTGTCATGTAAAATGGACCATAAAACATGTATCACACGACACTTTCATATTGTGACCCCCCAGTGACCTGACCTCTGTGACCTGACCTGGTATCAGTGACCTCAACTAGCAAAATATGTGTTTGAAGAACATTTCCCCATCGATGATTTTCAATGAAATGCATTTTACTCGATTTTACAACGCATTTCTTGAAATGCCTGTAAACGGTGAAAACTGGACCTTTGACCTGACCTGTGACGTCATCGGTTTGACCTAGGTCAATAAAAGTGGGTCACAAGGTAGTTCCCTGATAGGGCTATCCAACACCGTTTGCCGCTTGTCGCTAGGTTGCGTGGTTCTCGAGATCTTAGGGGGGGGGGTCAAAATGGCCCTCCCCCAACGGGGCGCGTTGCTCGGCAGAGCCCAACGGGGCGCGGGTTAACCCTCGCCGGCCGAGGGGGGGGGGGCGGGAGCCGCCCCTCCATAGGTTTTTTTCGCGATAACTCCGAACACGCTGGCGATAGAGAGCTGAAACTTGGCATACCTGACCTTTGATCCAAGCCGGATCTTTTGACACCAACCGCATTTTTGGGTCAGGTCAGGTCACTGACCTATGACGTCATAAGTGAACCTCTGCACGGTCTTCAGATGTCGCAACTTCGCAACGCCCTCACTGCCAGAGGAGATGTCACAGGGAAATGAAACTTGCAGGATCTAGTATCCATTATGAGTCCCACATTTTGTATATCTCGGATTTTTCCTAAAGGTCATATGAGGTCAGGTCATTTTCGTGACCTCACCATTAGGGGAAGTTGGGGCAATGCCGGAGTTGGGGCAAAGCCGAAATTCGAGATATTTCGAAAACCGTAAGACATGGATGCCACCTGTCAGTGATGCTCTGAAGCTTAAGTGACTACAATTATCGCATGTTTGTTACGAGTCGTCATTCGGAATACTTCGGCTGTGAGGGCGCCAAGAGCGTTTTCAAGGTACGCGTTCCTTGTACTACATGCGCCTTTGAAGCTGCATTTCTTA